AAACTTAAAAATCAAGTTGCCATATTGGAAAGCGGCCCCACAAATAAAGCCATAGAAACACTTCTTAGCTAATTCTTTCTTTTCTACTGTAAATAAATCTCCAAATATTTCCACAAGTTCTACTCAGTTTCTTTTTTTCAAGTCCCGGTTTGCGTATTCAATAGCAGATGAATCCCATAGTGATGGTCGGAGCTGAATTTCAATTATCAATCTTTCTGTGTCGAAATTATCCACGTTTGGAAGAAACAGAAATACACACAACCACATTCACGCACGGACGTCAATGGACTGGCCAGACTGTCATGTGATGTTGATTTGGCCTTGGCAGCGATGCCAGTAGCATTTGAACTTGGCATCTTGGCTGGCAGCGATGCCAAGTTGGAAGCGCTGCCAGACGGATGCCAGGTGTGATATATGACTACTAAATTAATGCATTGAGTTTGGCCGAGATGCTGGCAGCTGCGCCATAGCCTCCCGTTGGCATCCTAGTGCGATACCGCCCTAAATGACGGTGCGCCGAGAGTTGCAATGCATGCCAGCGGACCAGGGTGTTCCCGAAAAGCAGATGCAAGTTCCGCTGGCCAGCAATTCCTGGCTTTTATGGATTCCACTTTTCGTCTTAGGGCCTCACGAGTGACCGACCACTAGCTGGAGCGAGTCTTAAGCCGTTTCACCTCCACGCCCTGCTAATCAGAAAGCAGTTCTCCGAACAAACATTTGTCTTGCTCGTGCTATATATTCCGCCCATCCCAGCGTTGTTGATCTAATACCCTCACTCATATTTATAACAATCATTTAAATAATTCGCTGACGGCTCGGGAAATGTTCTAGTCCTGAAAGATCATGCCTCACAATGACTGCGTTTCATAAAGTCTCGGCCAGTTTTCGCCCAAAACGTCATTTTCGTCCTCAGAGAGTTTTGAACTCAGCATGGCGTGCACTTCGAGATCGGCTCAGCATAAAAATGTCACGCGTCGTTAAAGCGAAGTGCTTACTGAGTTGGACGGTCCATCAGGAGCTTCTTATGACGTCAGTGACCCGGAAACAGAGAACACATCGACAATGAATGGCTCTAGTGTTGTTGTTCACACCCGGACACCAGGATATGGAGGCGAACATGGGAGACGAGGAGGACAAGATCGGAAACGTGTACTCTCTGCAGAACAGCGACATTCCAAGAGAGCTTTGTGGCATCACGCAGGTCGGTGTTGCACTAATGTGCACAGTGTTTGCCAACGATGACCTTATGTCTTTGTCGCACTGATTTTGCAGCAAGGATGGTGGAAGCACGTGGGAGGGGCGACCAGCCTGGAGGTTAGGGTAAAGGAGAGGTGGCCCGTGGGATAAAACCTCTGGAAGAACAGTCTCTGGGGGACAGTCCCAACGAACACGCATCAAAAAGAAGGATCTGTGCGCTAGAGCTCCAGAGGTTGAATAATCCTCGGAGTACCGCGAAGGGGACCTTGACCCAAGGGCAGGAAAAACCCGCGGGGCTGTCCAGATTCTTCTCAGACCCGGGAGATCTAATCTAAGATAGTCGCCTAGGGGTATCCAGAACAGAAAGGGT